CACAGTAACCAAATATCAAGGCCTGTCATTATAATTTTAAAATGAGAGGCCATAGTAAGAACTTCTAAATGTAGCTAGATTTTTCCCCTTATTCAACAAAATGCTTTAGAGGTCATTTTAGGAGTGATTGAGTATTGATCTCAATTTCAAAATTGTGGTTATGTATATATGGCCATATAAGTAGATAACAACAAGGATACTTCTTCCCCTCTACACATACAAAACACTCAGAAATAGCCGAAAAAAATCTGCCCTCTAAAATCTAAGTTATGAAACTAACACATAGAAATCATAGCAAGAAACATGAAAAAGTTGTCTTCAAAAGGCTTTCAGGGTTTTATAACTGCCCTGTTTCCTAACCAGAGATTCCAAAACTTAAAAACTCCAACCACATGTAAATTCAAGCTGAATAAGGACTTGAAGACCAAGGAAGGCTCCCTGTAAATAAGAGATTGCAATGAATCTAATTAAAACCTGCGACAGCATGATAAAAATGTGATTATCAAACATAAAAATCCTTTTTTTTTTTTTTTATCCTCACCTGAGGACATTTTTCCATCTTTTGTTCAGACAGAGCAGGAGGGAGAGAGAGGAACAGAGAGAGAGAGAGAAATATCGATGTGAAAGGGACACATCGAGTGGTTGCCACCCGCACGACAGACCAGAGCCAGGGACAAACTGCAACCGAGGTACGTGCCCTTAGCGGGAACCGAACCCGGGTCTCTCAGGACCGCAGGCCGACCTCTAACCGCTGAGCCAAACCGGTCAGGACAAAACATAAAAATTCTTGAAAAAGACATACCCTAAAGAAAAAATATAAACCTTAATCCAAGATTTCATAAAAACTTTTGTTTTTAATCCTAGGGGTTAGGTTGAGGACAAGATGGAAGAACTAGGCTAAATCAGAGAAGTAAAGAACGTGCGGAAGCTGTTTTTTGAGTGCAACGAGGCAGTGACATTGTACACATCAATTCCAGCGGGCATGGAACAAAGGCTCATGCCTCTGACAGCTAAACTAGTGGTATCCTCCCTTTACTCATGTAACCAGTGTGATCACCAGGGGCTGCTATACCTGTTTGTACTATAAGAGCACTTTATAAACAAGCATGTATTCTCTTAGTAAATGGAAGAAACAAAAGATATGTACAAAAGAGTTAATTTGAAGAAAAGTGGGTCAGCCACCACCACATGGAAATGGGAGTCACCAACAACAGTAATGAGGAACACCACTTGCTGCGAGTTTCCTAGATACCAGGTCCTCTGCTAAATGTTTTACATTTAACTCGAATCCTCACAACCACCATCAAGCAGATACTGCTATTATTCTCAACTTAGAGATAAAAAACAGTAAACTTGGGAAGGAAGTCATTTGCCCAAGGGCACACAACTCATCAGTGGTTGTGCTGGGGTCTCAATGCAGGTGTTTCTGATTCAGCTGGCAAATGTCTTAAACACCCTGTTCAACAGTCCTCTCAAGGGGCAAACAGAGGCAGTGCCCACCTTAATCACTGCCCAGAAAAACTACCCAGACTCAAAGGAACGTGTCTTGTCCGGGAGGCAGTACCACTCCCCTTAGGAAGATAGGTAAGGTTTTCAAGGCAACCTCCGTTCTCCGATTTCATGCTCACCAAGTCATTCTGACTCCCACGTGTCCTGCCTACAGGGAGGTCACTGCACACACACTCAGGGCCCTTGGCGGTTCCACAGCTCCTTGTAAATTACTAAGCTTGCATCCTGGTCTTACACATCCTTCTCCGTGAGCTGGGGAGACACAGGTCTCACCCCCAGAGACATTCGCCCTTTGCGTCTGACCACCTCACTCTAGAATATGCTGATTCCGTCAAGGTAATACTGCCCCATGGGAGTGGCTATGCCCCGCTGACACCCTCTTGTCTCACCACCTCCATCAAACCTCTATAACATATACTTTCAATACTGGAGAGAAAATTTCCTAATTCCCTTTAAATTCTATAAAGCCTTTCACAACCTCTCTTGAAAGTGTTATGAAACTCTGAGAGATATGCAGAGAATTTCAACAGCTCTGAGAGGTTGTTGCTATAATAAACAGCAATGTTTTCCTATGAGGATCACTGTTTTCTCCTTTTAAAAAGTCACTTTCCTTAGTTTAAGTATGGTGAATTTAGACAACAGTTAACAACCTAAGTCAACTAAATTGAATATAAGTACATTAAACTGTATTTTGGGGTTCTTAATGTATCATAAAATATCTCAAACAAACAAACAAAAAAGACTAAAAAACAAACATCATATACCCACACATCCAGCTTAAGAAATAAAATACTACCGCTATAGTTGAAGCCCCTGGATATTACATTATAACAGTATTACTGTGTAGTCCTTGTAAGTGTCATAATAAAAGTGAAATGGTATTCAATTAAGCAAGAAAAGTAGAGACTTTTTCTCCCCTAACTTAAACTTGGGCAGCAGCAAAGTTTATCAGCCAAATCTATACAGTACGATAATTTTGAGTTTGCTTGGTGGGAGAATAGTGCAAGACAACAACGTACCAATATTTGTTGGTATGACTCTTATAAATGACACAAATGGACACAAACTCTTGACAGGTGATGCTGACTCAGATGATTTCTGAACAGTCATTCAGTACGATTAGGCCTGGGACTTGAGCCATCTCTTCACATGCTACGGGGCAAAGCTTCTGAAACAAAAAATTTACTATACAAACCAAGTTCCTAACCATGACTGTCATTAAATGTTGGAAATGGTGGGACAGCCTGTGCAGGGGCAAGACATTCTCTGGGGATCACATCTGTTCCCTCTCAAAAGCACTTTACACCCTTCTGTTCAAAAAAAAAAAAAAAAAAGCATTATATGCCCACAGCTGTATGAAGTTGCTAGTTCCTGAGTCTGATAATCTCAAACAAGAGATAGCCACTTCTCTGGACTTCCTGAATAACAGACATGGAAGGCGATGCCTGTGGGTTCTGTTCAACCTGTATTTACTGAGCACATTCCATGCCTGGTACTCTGGGTACAAAAATAAATTAACCACAGTTTCTCAAGATGTTGACTCTGTAGTGGTTGTAGGCGGACATGGTACATGAGGGAGAAATTACAGGAAAAAAAACCAAAGTAGGGAAAAAGGAAAAATGGGTGAAGGAAGCAAAAACAATGGAATGCAGGCAAGCAGAGCAGTCGCTGCGGCCAGCTCTTCTGGTTTACTTTCTCCTCTAGCACTACTACATCTCCCCCTCCTTCCACGGCGCCCTCTCCTCTACTCGACCCTAAGGGTCTGCCACATCCTCTTTTCCTCTCCTGGTCAGCCTCCCACCCTCTCCCAACTCTGATTAATTAACTGACCTTGACTGATGATCTCAAAATCTCTTCTCTCCAGCCTGGATTCTCACCTGAGCTCCAGACCCACATATGCCTGTCTACTCAACATCGCAATTGCCATCTCAAAGGCAATACTTCCAGAACTGAACTCACCACACACCTCTCCTTTTCCCCCTCAAACCTACTCTTTCTTTTATATTTCCTGTCTGTCACAGTCCCCACCATTTACTAGAAACCTAAGTATCAACCTGGACCCCGGGCTAGCCCTTCCCCAACACTCGGGAGATAGGTCCTGAATATCCCCAGATTCCACCCACTTCTCTCCATCCCCATCCAAATCCCAGTGACCACCACCTGTACCACAACTACTCCTTTCTAATCATTGCCCAGAGGGCTCGCTCTTCACAAAAACCAACCATACCACTTCCCTATTTAAAAACCCTTCACTAACCTCCCTATTACTTTCAGGGTAAGCCCAAACCCTTTAACAAACAAAACCCCATGTTATATGGCCCCTGCTCTGACTTTCCTCCACCCACTTCAGGCTCCAGGTAGAGCATCTGCCTTAGGTCTTCGGCCCTGTCCATTTCCTTTGTTAGAACAGTCTTTTCCAACCCCAGAGAGGACCACCCTGCCCCATCCTTCAGGTGCCAGTTCAGACCTACTTGCCCTGGGAAGCTTTCCCTTTACTGCCGCCCTACTGACTATAGCCCCCTCCACTTCCCCTATCATTGCATGGACCAGGAATGTTTTCTTACTGGTACCCACACTAGAATAAACTCCTAATACATATGTGCTTGGCCCTTAAGTCTTCAGTACTGAATCATCAAATGACTAGAAGGTGCCCAGAGGCAGTTCATCTATTGCTGACTGTTTATGAACTACAACATCAATGGGATTTCCAGTTAGGAAGATAGGTGTTTATGTGGAATAATCAGTTTCTCCATCTTTCTCTTACCCTAGAACCAGGTGGCCAAAGGATGGAAGGGTCTTAGGTTTAATCAGAGCCCTAGTCTTCACAGTCCTTACAGAGAATTTTATAACTAAGACACTATGTGGATACTTGAGGACTACAACTTCCTATTGACTAGATGAGGGGTTTTCCAGGGCAAACCTCCCTATGGATCGTATAACAGACTAGTTACTAGAGCTTGGCTCTACAGGTACATTAAATCACACAACCACTGAGGGTTAGGCGCCCCATGGTTCAGATAAGGAAGCTGGAGCCCAGAGAGGTCATATAACTTGCCCAAGGTTAAACAAACAGAATTCAAACTCAGGCACTATGTCTTAGAATCTTGGCCTGGCCTGTGGAAAACAAAGAATGTTGAATGAATGAAGTCAGTACACTGTACTAGATCAGGATGATCCCCATTTGGATTATATTACAAAAAGGAAACTTGATCATCCAACATGCAGTCATATTTGATTTTGAATTACATTTTGGGGGAACATATAAACATTTTTAAAACTCGGGCACAGTTCATTCTCTTACAAGGTATCCCCAAGGAAAGACCTCTTGTTCTGTATCTATTCCTTCCTCATGGGACTATGAGCTTGCAGGCTCCACTTAGATATCCTGGCCAGGGACATCCCTTGAGAACCACAGCCAGCATACATTAAAGTGTCTGGGAAGTAAGGAGAGAAGCCAGGCCAGGAAGCCAGCAGCCTTGTTCGCAGCTTACCTCCCGCAGCTCCAGTCTTTGAGCCACAGCCTCCAAGCTCTCCTGACCAGTGCTCTCCACAGACAGAGTGAACTCCACAAACTCATTATTGAGCAGCTGGATCCGGGCAACCAGGCAGCTCTTGCTGGACACGGTGTAGCGCCGGGTGCGTTTGAGTTTCAATCCAAATGGCAGTGGCATCTTCTTCTTTCTTTAAAGTGTGGAGCGGTAAGGAGGGAAAAGCACCACCACCAGTGCAGTGGTGGTGCCCGAGGAGAGGACGAGCCTCTCCTGCCAGGAGGGGTACTTGTGCAGTCACCGGCCGCTCACCCAGCAGCTGCTGCCTCCATCAAAATACAACTGAGTCTCCAAAGGCCAGGGGAAGGGAGCATCCACGCCAGTGCTGAAGAAAGAGGAACACTGGTTACATGGGCAATGGCAACTCGGGACTTTGCTTTTAAAAATAAACATCAATAAAGCTATAGCCAAAGAACAAGCTTCCTCTCTCCTCTGGAAAAAGAAGGCATCAACAGAGTTTGGGAGACAGTAGGGACGTTGACATCGGAACTGTGTTAGACCCTGAGTGAGACTCCACCCCTCACTCAGACCTACAAACAGCAGTAACCACCATTTGTGCTGTTTCAGGACTAACTGAGATATTTGGCTGGCACTACTGTAAACCCGAATAGAGGAGCTAGCATTAATGGTCCAATTTCTATTTGAGATAAGGGTTTTTTTGGGTTTTTTTTCATAGTTAACTTTTTTAGTCACTTAATACTCCAAACGTGAGGGTCTATAGTCCTTAGGTGAGTTAACTACAAAACACCTCCAAAAGAGCTACGTTCAAGGCTCAGTCCCAAAAGGCAAATTAATTCTGAACCCAAGAGAGGAATAATCCCCTCTAACATAAGGCAGCTGTGAGGTTCAAACCAGGTGAAGCGCTTAACAAGCATTTGTAGAACCCTTACTAGTTTGTAAATACTGACGTCACCTAATTGACTTATTAACAAAGCATAAAAGACCTTACAAATGCTTGTTATCGGATTACCACATGGGCGTGCAAGTTCTGAAAAGCATGGCCACAGAAGTGTGCAGGTTCTATCTGAAAAGCATGGCCACAGGGAGCGTGCAGGTTCTGAAAAGTGTGGCCACAGCAGCGTCCCAGTTCTATCTGAAAAGCGTGGCCACAGGGAGCGTGCAGGTTCTGAAAAGTGTGGCCACAGGAGCTTGCCGGTTCTATCTGAAAAGCGTGGCCACAGGGGGGGGTGCAGGTTCTGAAAAGCGTGGCCACAGGGAGCGTGCAGGTTCTGAAGAGCGTGGCCACATGGAGCGTGCAGGTTCTATCTGAAGAGCGTGGCCACAGGGAGCGTGCAGGTTCTGAAAAGCGTGGCCACATGGAGCGTGCAGGTTCTATCTGAAGAGCGTGGCCACAGGGAGCGTGCAGGTTCTATCTGAAGAGCGTGGCCACAGGGAGCGTGCAGGTTCTATCTGAAGAGCGTGGCCACAGGGAGCGTGCAGGTTCTATCTGAAGAGCGTGGCCACAGGGAGCGTGCAGGTTCTATCTGAAGAGCGTGGCCACAGGGAGCGTGCAGGTTCTATCTGAAGAGCGTGGCCACAGGGAGCGTGCAGGTTCTATCTGAAAAACGTGGCCCCGGCTCCTGTGAGGGTGGGGACTCCTAAAGAGGAGGTGGGCCTTCACCTAAGCCGAGCTGGGGCCCAGAAGAGGCGGGCGGGGACTTAAACGCCATCCTGGCAGAACGAGGGGCGGACGGGCGTGAGCCAGCCCATGCGGCTGGGAGCACAGCGGAGAGCTCGGCTCCTATTCCTCCGGGAAAAGCTGGCAGCGTTGCCCGACCGACGCGCAGCCTCGGAGGCCCCGGAACCCTCCGCCCGCGGCTGCGTTTCCGGACGGACGCGCTAAGAAAGGTCCGGCCCGGCTGCTCCCGGAGGGAACTTTTAAAGGACCAGCTCAAGACCCCACAGGTGGAGGGAAGGTTTGGGTGCCGCCTGTTTGATTCCCGGTTGGGAGCCTCAAGACTCCAAAATAAGTGATTTACGACGTTTTTAATCACACCTGTTGCTGGTAACACCTGGGCTGAAGCAAACTGGGCGTAAGTGGCAAGTAGGGATTCTTACTGAGCTGGGTGTTTTCCACCTAAACGAATCGACAGAATCCCGGGATTGTTCCCACCCTCCGTTTTCTTCCGAGCAGAAGCAGACCCCGAAGAGGAATCGTTCAGCGAGACTCGACAGTGGCTGGTGACCCTGAACTTGAGTCCCCGACCGCGCGGAGGGGCAGGGTCCGCCCCCAACCTCTCATGTGGCAGAGGCAGAACCCCGGCCTCTGGGCTTCACACGAGGATGAGAAGAGCGGGGAATCGATCCCAGATTCTTCATTCCCGGTCCTTTCCGCTCTCCTGACTGCGACTCGGCCCCCGAGGTGATGGGCGCTCCGGGCTGGAGGATGGCAGAGCCAAGGAATAGGACTTAGCCATTACATTAGGCTTTGCCAACCAATATTTTGTAATTACATTCCACAAAAGTGTATTGCGTCTCTAGGCATAAGACAGTGTCGTGGACATCGGGACAAATCTAAGACGAATCCTAAGCCGTCACTACCCTTAAAGAGATTACAAGCTGCTATATTTACATACAGGGTTGCACCTCTAATAAGGATCCAACCAAAGTGTTCTGTCTGGGTTTTTTGTTTGTTTGTTTTTGATGCTTGCGTTTTGATTCTTGAGTTCCGGTTATCCCCAGAGAGCCAAAAATAAATAAAAGTTAAAAACAAGGAATAGAGGAAGAAGGCCAGAGGAAAAAAAAGAAAATTTAAACTACCTAGAGCACTGTGTTAACAACCTTCTGTAGGTAAAAGCATCATACTAAGGAGGAAAATAGAAAATAAATATTATAAAAATATATGGTCTTGCACAGTTGGTTAGAGTGTTGTCCTGATACAAGTCCTGCTGGTTCAGTCCCCACTCGGCACATATAAGAAGCAACCAATGAATGCATAAATAAGTGGAACGACAGACTGATGTCTCTCTCTCTCAAATCAATAAATAACATTTTTAAATAAAAAGATATGGTCTCCACCTGCAGTTTTTAATGCTCTTTGCTATGTCAGGGTATAAGCTAAATATATAGTTGAGGCCAAAATGGGGGAGGGGGATCAAGAAACGAGAACCTTAATATTTTTAACTGGAAAATTTCCTGATGAGCCAATAGTGTTTGTATAAATTTTAAAAGATTGTATATACATAACATCATATATATACTAAATACCCTTTCATGAGATGAGATGATGGATTTCACTTTTATGTACAAATTATGGTAACTGGAAACAGAATTTAGTGTAGATGAAAAGACAAGATACTGCATATATGCAGAGGAAAGAGGAATATTTGTACTAAGGGTGCTCAAATATGGTAGCCTCTTCCCTACAAAGATACAGCTATATATTGAAGGTAGTTGACAGAACACAATGTAATTTAATTATTAACTTACGCTCTGATTAAGCAAATGAAAATTAAAACTTTCCACTGTCCCTGAGATTTGAAATGTTTTACATCATCAGGGATAAAGAAAAGCCAGTGAGTGTGTTCTCTCTTTTATTTTGGAAGGTGTTATAATGTAATTGAAAAAGTTGAGGGAGTACGTGTGTATCAGGTGCATTTCCCAACCCCCAACCCCAAGATCTATCCATAAGAATAGCTTGCTTTTTGCTTATTTATATAAAAGTTACTGTGTTAAAATAATGTTTTGCTTAATCACAAATTTATCAATGATTTACACATCCTAATTTTAATTTATGTACAATATTTGCTACTAAATGATGTATAAATGTTTGAATAGAGGAGTAGAAATTTAGGATGTTTGTTGGAGAGTATGTTTCAGATATAAATTAATATGTAATAATTTCAAAGGTAGTTAGGTCTGGAATTATAAATTACCTAACTACTAAAGTAAACAATTCATAATTAGCTTTTGAAGAAAAAAACTAGGAAATAACTTTGTTTCTCTACCAAACCATTCTGTTATATAATAAGAAAACATATTAAGTTCTGTTCAAGTTTTCAAAAGACAGTCGGAGATATTTGTAAATTAATTTTAATATTTTCTCTTCACGTCCCCTCTCAAAAGTTTCTCAAATGCACTTTAACCCTGATTCCTGTTTTCCCCTTGCCGATAAGGTCCCCACCTTACGTAATTTTGCCAATGATGCTTTAAAATAAAATAATCACTAAAAGAGTATACGATATTTTAGAGTAATATATAGGTCTACAGTATACAATCAAACGTATGTTTCTCATGGACCAAATATATATACGTAGATACTCGAGAATAAAATGCCTTAGAAACAAAACAGACAACTACTTTCAGAGTAAAATTACTGTCGTATCCGACACTTAAAAAAAAAAAAAACTGTCAGCAACCATTAGGCATACAGCAGTTGTCATTTGGAGCACACGAAGTGTTTTGAATGTTTGAGAGCATACGCTATTATTATAAGGCTTTCTCAGCAAAAGAGAAAATAAGACGAGCATGCCAAGAACTTCTAATCAGGATATGCAGAAATCGCAAGTCGGAATTTGCAGACCCAAGAATTCTTTTTTCCAGAGTAAACACTTACTCCAAACCAAAACAAGTCATCGCCAAACAGTCCTTCCCTACTCACTCCCCTTCTCGCCCAAGTTATCCAGCAAATTTCGCACGTACTACGCCGAGAGGCACCAAATCCTAAGACTTTAAGACTCTGAACCAGAATTAAGCCGCAACGATCTGGAGGAGTTCAGAACACGTTCAGGACGCCCTTTAGAAATTACTCAATTAGACCAGAGAACCTGGAAAAGGAAGACTTTTCTCTTTGTTACGCTCCTGCCATCGGTCCGTAGCCAGGACCCGTCCTCCACGGCTGGCCAACGCGCTCCGGGCTCCCCGCGGGCGGACACAGCCCACCGCTCGGCCCCAGCGCCCGCCCGCCGCCCGCCCGCCGCCCGCCGGGGCCCCGCGCCCTCACCTGCTCCCGCTCCCGCATCCTCGGGGCCGCGCGCCCCGCTCAGCGGCCCGCCTCCCGGGGCCCCGCCGCGCGGCCGCCACAGCCGCGCCCGCAGCGCGGCGCGCTCCTGGGGCTCGCCAGCCTCACTTCCTGTCTCCAAAAACTCGGCCGGCGCACCATTCCCCTGGGCCAGTCCGGCGGCCGAGGCGAGGGCAGCCGCCGGGAGGAGGGACCCGCCGGCGAGGAGCGGCACACAAAGAAAGCGCGCGGGGCCGGGGCGGCAGGAGGACCGGCGGACGGGCTCGGGACGCGCGGCCGGAGCAGCGGAGCGGCCGGGGCCGGGCGTCCCTCCCCCTGGGCCGGGCGGATCCGGGGAGGCGGCGGCGGCCCGTGACCTCAGAGAGTTGGAATGCGGGCGGCGGGGCGCGGGGGAGGCGCGGACAGCTGCGCCCGGCGGCCGGGGAGGGGGCGCGCCGCTTCTTTTTTTAATCATATGACCACTTATTTTAAGAGTCTCCAAATAAAGCAAGGCTTTTAATACAAATGAGGGGAGGGGGATATTAGTTCTGTTCCAGGTAAAGGGGTTTATTCCGGTGTTGTAATTAGGTGGTCTGTAAAGTGCTGTTATTGCTGGAGTTTTTCGTTTACTCTTGTACACTTCTGAAAGCAGTTTACACGTTCTGTATATTTCATGCTTCTCCTGCCTAAGGATATATCCAATATAAAAGGAAGAACACTAGTACTGGATGGAAAAGCCCTCTTTCTCCATAAAGGGTTGCTATGCCTCAAATAACTTATGGGTCTCAAAAAAAAAAAAAAAAAAGGTTGTACACACATGCAATACAAAGAGCTATTAAGGATGTGGACGCCAGGGTCAAAGTGTGTATAGGTTTAAATCTCAGCACCAACACCTGCTAGCTGGTGACCTTGTGCAAATTGCTTAACCTCTCTCTTCGTGCCTCTTTTATAAAATGGGACTAAAATGTCACTGCCTAGTAATTTGTATAAAATATATATTAAGTGTTCCACTTAATTCTAGATCCTACTAGCAGTGTTTATTACACTGCAATATTATTATTACTGTATTGCAACACTTAAGCCAAGGAATAAAACTTGACCTATGCTGGTCGAGTACCTTGGTTGGAGCATTGTCTCATGCACCAAAAGATTGGGGGTACCATTCCTGGTCAGGGCACATACCTGGGGTGGGAGTGGGTGGCAATGGGAGGCAATGGATCTCTCACATCAATGTTTCTCTCTCTCTCTCTAAAATGTCAATTTTAAAATAATACATTTTTAAAATAAAAACAACACTGTGACCCTAACACCATCACAATAGGGTGTTTGGTTTTTACTTGGCATGTGGTTTGAGTGTTTGGAGCAGAGAAGCTTTTATGTAAATTTTAACTTAAATGATTTTTTTAAATATTGTTTCTGGAAAGCCTTTTTTATGTTATATCTCTTTTAAATCTCATTTTCTTCAACAATTAACAGACACTTATTGAGTACTTACTATGCATAAGTAATGGTCCCTGCAAACAAAGAAACTCTGGTCTAGTGGGTAATATGCACACTTACACATCACACATACACAGTACAAACAAGGCCTAAATGGTGAGCACCATCATACAGGTAGGAGTGCTAAGGGAGAACAAAGCCTGGGCAAGATTCAGGTTGGGACATGGAGCTAAAGGCATCTAAGATTATATGTGTTTCTAATGGAAAAATTAAATCAATTCTGTTTGTAATTGATATTTGGGCTGGACACTATGAAGGGGTCAATTTGTGTATGAGGAAAGAAAATAGAAGTTAAAATAAGTCACTTTTCTGGTCTCCCAAGCTAAAAAAAATTGAAATTCTGTGTGATTCTTCATCCAGCCTGTCACTAAGACTTGATATTTTCTCCTTTGAAGTCTCACGATTTTTTTTGCCTCTCTGTTCCTCATCATCCCCTCCCCCCTTCTAATCCAAATTCTCATCATTTTACACATGGATTACTGCAACAAGGGTGGTCTCCTTGCTTCTGGTTTCTCAGGTCTCTCTTGTTTCCATGCTAATACCAGGCTTACCTCTCTCCCATGGTACCCCCAAGGCTAATTCAGTTTTTCTGCCTGAACTTTAGGTCCTTTCTAACCTGGTCTCAGCCTCAGACCATCCTCATTTCTCCTTAATGCCCTCACCAAGCTGTCTCTGCTGCGCCCTTTGTATCCTGTGTCTAAGCTTTCCATTTCTCTCCAAGCCTCGGTTCAAGGCTCTCTGCTTCCAAGACAACTTTCTCGCCACCCCATTCCACAGTGATCTCCACACTTGGCAAGAACTTTAAAAACTGTTTCATGAAGGCTTGTTTTATATCTCCTAGAATTCCTAGGACACTGCTGGGCAGAGAGGAGGCACTAAATAAAAACTTGTTAATTGAATTGGGAGGAAAATAAAAGAATTTTAAAAATAGAAAATGATCATAAAAACCAAGGATGTGAGATAACTGAGTTGAACTTCCTCCCTCATAATCCACAAGTGTCATTTGCCGACCAAATACTTCGGCTCTATTTTCCCTCAACCATGTTCACTTGACTTTAACATCCCATGGGAAGCCACTTGAACAACCTTTCAAAGTGTTACACATATAGCCCTGGCCAGTTTGACTCAGTGGTTAGAGTGTCGGCCCACGGACCAATGAGTCACGGGTTCGATTCTGGTCAAGGGCACGTGCCTCGGTTGCGGTTTGTCCAGCCCTGGTCGGGTTGTGCTGGAGGCAACCAGTCATTGTGGCTGTACCACATCGATGTTTCTCTCTCTCTCTCTCTCTCTCTCTCTCCCTCCCTCCCACTCTATCTGATAATAAATAGAAAAATATCCTCAGGGCGAGGAACAACAACAACAAAAAAGAAGATGCCCTATAAAAAGGAAGGAAACTGCCCTGGCCGGTTTTGCTCAGCGGTTAGACCGTCAACCTATGGACCAAAGAGTCCCGGGTTCAATTCCAGCCAAGGGCATGTACCTCAGTTGTGGTTTGGCCCAGCCCTGGTTGGGGTCATGCAGGCGGCAACCAATCCATGTGTCTCTCTCAAGATCAATATTTCTCTCTCTCCCACCTTCCCACTCTGTCTGAAGAGAAGTGTAAAAATATCCTCAGGTGCCCCCGGTTGGTGTGACTCAGTGGTTGAGCATCAACCCATGCTCCAAGAGGTCACTGGTCGATTCCCAGTCAGGACACATGCCCAGGTTGTGGTCCAGATCCCCAGTGGGAGGCATGCAGAGGTGGCCATTCGATGTTCTCTCTCATCAATGTTTCTATCTCTCCCTCTTCCTTCCTCTCTCTCTAAAATCAATAAAAAAAAATTTTGTTTTAAATATCTTCAGGGGAGGATTTTAAAAAAAGTGGGGGGGAGGAAACTGGTTTTGGTGGTGCATTGACTAATACAGGAATTAAGAAATTAATCTGCTGCCCAGCTGGTGTGGCTCAGTGGATTGAGTGTCCTCCCAGGGACTGAGAGGTCCTGGTTTGATTCCCTGGTAAGGCACATTGTCCACGTTTCGGGTTTGATCCCCAGTAGGGGGCATGCAGGAAGCAGCTAATCCATGTATCTCTCTCACATCGATGTTTCTCTCTCTCTCTCTCTCTAAAAAACAAAAAACAAGTTTAATCTGCTTTGACATCTTGGCGAGTACCCATGTATCTCACTATATAAATTACCATCCTCTGCAAGGATCTAAATTGAATGCCTGTTCCACCCTATACAGATAATGATGCCTTAGTGGAGGGAGTAGTGGGAGCCAGAGCTAAAAAGGTGAAATCTCCTTTGGTCTCTGAACCCTCACCATGTATTCTGACTACCACACTCAACACCACCTCAGGTACAGCACTTTTTTTTAGCTGCGAAAGAGAATTTAGAGGCCAGATTCCCCTGGACATCAAAGAAATGATAGTGTTGGCAATATATTTGCTCAAATGGGCATACCAATAGAGAAAAGTATGTCAGCCTCCATAGCATAAGTGACTGCTACGACTATAATTCCCAACACTTAGGGTTTTCATCCACGGGCAGACATGTCATGTGATATCTACTATTAAACAAACTTGTCCGTTCACCCCATAGTTATTGGAAGACAGATGCTGCAAAGAGATAGGTAAATAAGATGCATCACCTGGTCTTGAAAGACTCGCCACGGGAGAAACAGGTAAATACCTAACTCTGGAAGAGTAGGGCGAATGAATCTACTAATGGGTATATATTCCAAGTGGAGTGGAAATGCCTGGTTTGTTACTGCGATCAGCTTCTGGCTGAGTCTGGAAGGACAAATAAAAGTTCACTAAGTACTCACAGAAAACGAGAGGAAGCATTCCAGGCTGAAAGCATCCCCAACACATTCTTCCAAAGGATGTGCAACACCCAACTACAATGCTGCCCGGAGAGGAGGCTGGAGATGCCAGGACTCCAATGTTAGGGTGTTCCGGGCTCCATGGAGTTGGGATTAGTACTCAGACCTCTATGACTTCAAAACCTATACTCTCTTTAGTCATCTCTCTTTGAAAGCCAGCCCCACGTTTTCTTAGCCGGCACTGTGGTTCGTTGCAATCTAGTCTTCATTCTATCCCCTGAGCAAAATATGTCATTCCTCCTGATGGAGAACCCTTCCACTCTGGAAAAGAATTCTCATGGTTCTGCTTAGTCTTTTTCAAACCGAAGATCCCTTTAAGGGTTTCTCTCAGGGCACCATCATGGTCATCTTTCTCTCGGTGAGCTGCAGTTTGGGAAGCTGCATCTTTCAGCGAAGCACTGGACCACTGGACACCATTGGTTTAGTAGAGTTGCCCCTCTATGATCCAGACATGTAACTCCTGAGATCTAAACATGCCAGTTCTTGAGCAGCCTGCAAGTCTCTTTTTCAATACTATTTATTTATTTATTTATTTATTTATTTATTTATTTATTTATTTATTTTTGTTGTTGTTAATCCTCACCCGAGGATATTTTTCCATTGATTTTTATATACTCTTTTTTTTTTTTTTTTGGTACGTGCCCCTAGCGGGAACCGAACGTGGGTCTCTCTGGACCGCAGGCCGACACTCTAACTGCTAAGCCAAATCGGCTAGGGCTCCATTGATTTTTAGAGAGAGTGGAAGGGAGGGAGGAAAGGAGAGAGAGAGAGAGAGAGAGAGAGAGAGAGAGACATCAATGTGTGAGAGAGATACATTGATTGGTTGCCTCCTGCACAACCCCGACCAGGGCAAGAGATTGAACCTGCAACCCAGGTATGTGACCTTGTCTGGAATCAAACCTGAGACCCTTCGGTCCAAGGACCACTGAACCAAACTGGCCATGGCTCTTTTTCAATAGTTTTAAATGGATAATCTCAAAAGTTAACTCTTTCTTGAATACATTTTAATAAAAGTTTCTCTATTCTGAATGCATTTTAATGAAAATAATCTCTATTCTTTTAACACTTTCTTTCAATATTATCTAAATATTGGCTAAGAATTTTGTACCCAGGAGCCCTGGCCAGTTTGGCTCAGCGGTTAGAGCGTCGGCCTGCGGTCCGCAGAGACCCGGGTTCGGTTCCCGCTAAGGGCACGTACTTCGGTTGCAGTTTGTCCCCGGCCCTGGTTGGTCGTGCGGGTGGCAGCCACTTGATGTGTCCCTTCACGTCGATGTTTCTCTCTCTCTCTCCCTTCCTCTCTCTCCCTCCCACTCTATCTGTACAAAAAATGGAAAAATGTCCTCGGGTGAGGATAAAAAAAAAAAAAAAAAGCAGAATTTTGTACCCAGGAATGGAAAAACATGTGTTTTCATTCTTAGTTCAGAAATGGTGGACAAACAAGTAGAAACAATGTATCTAACTTTTGCATTGTGAGTGTCATGAATGTAGTCTTGCTCATCTTTGTTCTCTGGCTCTCAGCACAGTATCTGGCTCACCGCAGGCATTTAATTTTTAATCAAGAAACAGTGCTGCTATGAGCCAAGCATAGTTTGAAATGCTTCTCAGATATTAACATTTCATCCTCATAATAACACTACAAAGGAGAAACTGGCATCATGCTTATGTCACAGATGAAGAAACTGGGGCACAGAAAAGATAAACAATATGCCTAAGATCTTAGAGGGGGTAGCAGAGCTGGGATTCAACCCAGGCAGCCTGGCTCCGGTGTCCCTGTTCTCAGTCACCCTGCTCCACTGCCTCTCATCAATGTTGAATGAAGACATGATCACTGAATTTATCCATAAGGAATGCTTTTGTTATTTAGTCATTACTTTCTTTTATCCTACAATACGTAATGAGTGCTTATTTTGTGCTTGGCATCCTGAAAGACACTTTGGAGAAATACACATCTACATGGAGTTTATAATTTTGTTGGAGAGGACACACACACACACACACACACACACACACATAAAATAAACATTACAGAGTATATTGTGTCATAGTAGCAGCTCCCACATAGATGCTATAGGAATTCAGAAGAAGAAAAAGAAGATATATGATATGAAGGGCCCCATGGTAGACAGACCTAGGTAGCCTCATGATTTCTGGCCCTGCTGTACACACTGTATAATCCCTTCCCTTGAGTGTGGGCAGTACCTGTGACTTGGTTATAGCTAATGAATACAGCAAAGATGAGGGATTTGCAGATGTAATTAAAGCCCTAAGTCAGCTGAATTTTGGGGTCAGGCCCAGGTTGGTCCTGACTTAATCAAGCGAAAGACCTTAAAAGAGGGACCAGGTCACCCTGGCCAGTTTGGCTCAGTGGTTAAAGCATCAGCCCACGGACCGATGATTCTGGTCAAGGGCACATACCTTGGTTGCAGTTCATCCTGGCCCTGGTCAGGGTTGTGCAGGAGGCAGCCAGTTGATGTGTCTCTCTCACATCGATGTTTCTCTCTCTCTCTCTCCCTCCCTGTCTTCCAGTCTATCTGAAGATAAATAGAAAAATGTCCTCAGGTGAGGATTTGAAAAAATGAGGGACTATGTCTTCCCTGAGCAGAGTGTGTCTCTTTGAGAGCTTGAGTGAGTGAACAGCCATTGGTGGAGGAGCCCATGGCAAGGAACCGTAGGCAATCTCTATGACCTGAGGGTGGCCTCCAGACAAGAGCCAGGAAACATTTGGGGCTCTCACCCATAAAGCTGAAAGGAAATTAATTCTAACAACCTAAATGAGCTTAAAAGTGACTTCTTCCTCAGTCAAGCCTCCGGGTGAGAACACAGCCTGCCTGACACCTCAACCACAGCCCTGTAACACCCTGAGCTAAGGAGTCAGCTAAGCTTCGCTCAGATTCCTGACCCATAGAAACCACAAGCTGATAAACGTGTTTCAAGATGCTGTGTGGTCATTTGCTGGGCAGCAATGGGTAACTAGTAAACACCAATTCAGGGATTAGTGGATATGGAGGGAGACATCTCTCTGTGCTTACTCTGATGCCAAGGTTTTGTGGCCAGGAACAGGGAGAATTAAGCAGCTATTGATACTCAGGAGTGGAATGATGGTCAGGAGTGGGGTAAGGGGAAGATGATAAAGACTTTATTTTTGTTTGTTTTTAAAATATGTTTTATTGATTTTTTCTTTTTTTTTTTTTAGAGAGGGAGGAAGGGAGAGAGAGACAACATCCATCAGCTGCCTCCTGCACACCCTCTACTGGGGATCAAGTCGGAAATCTGGGCATGTGCCCTGATCAGGAATTGAACCCAGACCTCTCAGTCCATGGTAGGATGCTCAATCCTTTGAGCTACACCAGCCAGGCAAGACTTCATTTTTTTATCCTCACCCGAGGACATTTTTCCATCTTTTGTTCAGGCAGAGTGGGAGGGAGAGAGAGGAACAGAGAGAGAGAGAGACACATCGATGTGAAAGGAACACATTGAGTGGCTGCCACCCGCACGACTGACCAGAGCCGGGGACAAACTGCAACCAAGGTACATGCCCTTAGTGGGAACTGAACCCGGATCTCTCAGGACCGCAGGCCGAACGCTTTAACCGCTGAGCCAAACCGGCCAGGGCAAGACTTCATTTTTGATGTGCTGAATTTGAAGAATATACAAATGCCTGTACTTATCTGGCATTTGGGAGTGGGTTTAGGTGAGAACTCAGGGAGAATGAAAATTCGGGTATTTTTAGCATAGAGGTAAGAGTTGATGCCATGAGAATAAGGGTTCTCCAAAGAAGGGGGTTCAGAGAGAGAAAGGAGCAAGAGGATAAAGATTAGTTCTTGGGGAAAGGACACCCATGGGCCTGGGAGAAAGAAGTCAGAACTAGATACAGGAGAACCAGGATAGCTGTGGAGTCAAACAAAGGAATATGTGTGATATTGGCTCCATTGCACTAGATAGTCCATCTTCCCTCCGAATGTAATTATAATGCAACCGCTAAGAGGCAGTATCTATGTTACAGGTAGAAAACCAGCACTCAAGAGTTCAAATATCTATTGGGGGACCACTTTGTAAAGTATATGATTGTTTAACTACTATGCTGTACACCTGAAACGAATCCAAAATAATACTGAATGTAAGCTGTAATTGAAAAAAATGTTTTAAAGTTTAAATATCTAGACCAGTATCATATTAACAGTAAGTGAAGGCTGGATTCGATTTCGGATCTCAAACCAAAGCCAGGGATCTTTTCGCTGCACATTTAATTCATCCGTATTTTCCAGAGCAAAGTAAAATTAATAATGAGGGGCGAGAATAGAGAAAAACTAAGAGCTCTGCAAGTGCCCAAAGAGGGAGACAGAAGCCCAGACTAGGCTCAAACACCTATTCTCCCTGCCGCCAGCAGAGGGCGCCGGAGCGCGGCCTCCGCGGGTCCAGATGCGCGCAGGCGCAGGCGCAGGCGCAGGCACGCGCCCCTCGGCTTGCTCCGGTGCGCCGGGACGGTGGGGGCGGGTCACGCAGTCCGCGCAGCCAGAAGCGGCGGTGGCTGTGGCCCCGGGACTGCGGTCACGGAACCGGCTGCGGGCTCCGGCTAAGCGAGGCGCCACGCAGTGCTGAGCTTGCCGCCCGCCCCGGAGCCATGGAGATCGGCACCGAGATCAGCCGCAAGATCCGGGTGAGGCCCGCGTCGGGCGGGGGCGGGAAGCCGGGCTCCGGCGGGCGCGCGGTTGTCAGGAGTAACGGGGACGGTGGGCCTGGCCTGGACGCCGCGGCCTGGTCTCTGGCGAGTGGCGCCCATCCGGCCTGGGGGAGACGCAGCCTCAGGGAGTGCGGCGAGTCAAAGTGGCCACAGCTGAAAAAGTAGTTGCGGGAAAACGGAAGGAGTCGTTGGGGGGGACAGTGAGCCCTGCTCAGCCGAGCTGGGAGCCGCTCCGGGTCCGTGCTACAGGGGGCCGCGGGGCCGGGGAAGGGGACAAGGGCGGGGGGGTGGGGGGGGTCGAAAGGACTTGGGAGCCGGCCAGGGTGGAGGGGGTCGGGGGGGGTTTACGGGGGGATGGGGGAGGGGCCGCGGCGCCTCCCCGCCCCCACCCAGCGCCCGGGAGGTTAGGAGGTGCGTGCATCCGCAGGGTTGCCTCTGCGTTGCAAGTCGGTTTGTTTTCCTAGGGCCGCAGTTCTCATGCACATTTGTCTTTTTCCCCCCCTCAGAGTGCCATTAAGGGGAAATTGCAAGAATTAGGAGCTTATGTTGGTAAGTTGTGTTGCTTTTGTTAGCCTAATGGAATTTAGAGTTTGCAGCTGATTAAGTTGTAGTGAGTGCATTTTCCCCGTTGTACTTTTGGCTTTGGAGAGACCTTTTTCTGCTATCAGATGTGACAATTCCTGGTTACTTTTTTTCCTTACCGTTATTTACTTATTTATTTATTTACTGAAAGCTGTGTACAATCTTGTGGGGGTTTTTATAGCTCCCCTTCTAATGTGGTGTTTGGAATTGTTTCTCTTCCTCTGTGGAGGCACTGTCCTATTTTTATTGTTTTTCCTGTTTTGCTTACTTTTCTCTTGATCTTCATTTTTCAGAATTATTTTGAATATGGGATGTTTTGTGCTTTCTGGCATTTGCCTCTGCCATGGTTCAGTGCGTTTTATTTTCAGATCTCTTATTTTCTTCCTGTTCCTTTCTCCTTTAGGATAGCAGTGTGTCCCTTCTTGTTCTTTTCTGAGTTACATTATTTGAGGGCCAGGCTCTGTATATCATTAGGTCATCATAATCCTTAGGAGGACCCTGGAAGGTAAGTGGCAATATCCCCAGTTGTATAAGCAAGGAACCTGAGGCTTTGAGTGCTTACTTGAGCAAGATTGAGACCTGGGTCTGTTTGACTGCAAAGCTGTGCCTCCTATGAAAGTAATTGCTACCACTTAATGATAGTGGTTCTCAAGGTATGGAAGACTCCAAGGATCTCCGAAGTCAAAATTATTTTCATATTAATACTGACAAAGTACTTGCCATTTTCACTGTGCTAACATTTGAATTTTTCAAAAGCAGTGGTGGGTAAAACTTCTGGTACTTTAGCCTGAATCAAGAAATCAGGATCTCACAACAAACTTTAAGAAAAACATCATATTCTTTATTACATCTCCACTTGGAATTTTGAAAAAAGCCGGTTTCACTTACGAATGTAAATGATGAAGCAGTAAAAAGATATTTTTTAAATCCTGGCCTTTGATTACATTTTTAATCAATGTGAGGAAAGCAGTATTTACATACTTATAAGCATATGCTTATTAAGTGTACTGTATACTGAAGCATGATGGGCTGTCTTAAGAAAAAGGTTTTGTGTGATTAAGTTGAGAACTGGATTACCTACCTTTTTCATGAACATCAGTTTTAAATTTTAAGGATTGACAGCTAGATACATACACTTTGGTGTTTGGCAGACATTTTCTTGAAAGTGGGCAGAGGAAAAAAACGCTAGACTTTTCTGACAATGTCATGAAAATGAGAAGTTTTTGGAAATGTGTGTCTGTCTCAATGAACTTAACAGTTTTCCAGTACTTCAAAGACATTATAATGAAATCAATTGTAATAGTAATGTGGTTTTTTTTTTTTTATATTGTATGAAATGTATCAACATGGTTTGTATAGCTCAGTGAACCAGTTTTTTTCGAATAACCAGTGCATGTTGTGACAAAGTTATACAAGGGTTAAGTATCCATTAAAAGGCTAGGATGGATCAATGGATTTTCATGTAACAAACAGAAAGGTTGTTGATGTAGTTTTAGTTTCCATTTTGCCACTAACCTTGGAGAAACTACCACTTGTTGAGTTTTGGTGTAGTATCCCAAAATAATATTCGCATTATCTGCAAAGGCTATTAAAATACTTGTTTTTCCAACTACATATGTGAAAGACCAGATTGTCTTTACATTTTTCAGTTAGAGCAACATATCACAACAGGTTAAATGCAAAAGCAAAAATTTGAATCCAGCTGTCTTTTAAACCAGATGTTGAAGAGAATGATAAAAATGTAACACTTTATATTTTTGCACTAATATTTTGTCTTGGAATATTATTTTTTATAAAAATATCTGTAAATATAAATGGGTTTATTGTTAACATTTGATAGGTCTATTATTTTATGCTTTTTAGAATTCCCAGTTTTAATTTCTAGTATGGTAAAAATCAGTAGATAATACTCACATAAATGAAATCTCTTTGGGGGTCATCAGTAATTTTTTTTTTCTTTGTTGGTTTTAGGGAGAGAGAGAGAGAAACACCAATGAGAGAGAACATTGATTGGCTGCCTCCTGCATGCCCCCCATTGGGGATCAGGCCCACAACCTGGGCATGTGTCGTGATTGGGAATCGAACTGGCGGCCTCTTGGTTCATGGGTCAGTGCTCAACCACTGAGCCACACCAGCTGGACTCATCAGTAAATTTTTTTTTTTCTTTTTTATCCTCACCTGAGGACTTCTTTTTTTTTTTGCATTTATCTTCAGATAGAGCGGGAGGGGGAGAGAGAGAGAGAGAGAGAGAAACATCAATGTGAGAGAGACACATCGAGTGGTTGCTACCCACACGACCCCATCCGGGGCTGGGGACAAACTGCAACCGAGGTATTTGCCTTTAGCGGGAACTGGACTGGGGCCTCTGGTCCGCAGGCCAATGCTCTAACCGGAGCCAAACTGGCCAGGGCTCATCAGTAATTTTTAAGAGTGTAAAATGGGCCTGAGACCACACAGTTTTAGAATTGCTAATTTACAACATACTGGGCACATTTCATAAATTATCTGTTGTTGGGATTTTATTGTTTTATCCTCACCTGAGGACATTTTTGCATTTATCTTTATTTATTTATTTATTTTTTTTAATCCTCATCCGAGGACATTTTTCCATTTTTTGTACAGACAGAGTAGGAGGGAGAGAGAGGAAGAGAGAGAGAGGGAAACATCGATGTGAAAGGGACACATCGAGTGGCTGCCACCTGCACGACCAACCAGGGCCGGGGACAAACTGCAACCGAGGTACGTGCCCTTAGCGGGAACCGAACCCGGGTCTTTCCGGACCGCAGGTGGACGCTCTAACCACTGAGCCAAACAGGCCAGGGCAAGCATTTATCTTTAGATAGAGCGGGAGGGAGAGAAGAGGGAAGAGAAACATCGACGCAAGAGAGACATATCAACTGATTGCTGCCCACTCAATCTCAACCAGGTTGGGGGACAAACTGCAACCGAGGTCCGTGCCCTTAGTGGGAACCGAACCCAGGACTCTCTGGTCCGCAGGTCAACGCTTTAACCACTGAGCCAAATTGGCCAGGGCTGTTGTTGGGACTTAAACAGATAAGAAAATTGAAGCTTTCCGCCGGCTGGTGTGGCTCAATGGTTGAGCATTGACCCATGCACCAAGAGGTCACCAGTTCGATTCTTGGTCAGGGCCGTGCCCAGGTTGTGGGCCTGATCCCCAGTTGGGGTATGCAGGAGGTGGCCAGTTCGTGTTTTGTCTCATCGATGTTTCTATCTCTCTCTTCCTCTCCCTTCCTCTCAAATCAATAAAGAAAAAAATATTAAAAAAGAAAATTGAGACCCAGAGGTTAAAGATGAAGCTGAACCAGGATTTATTTAGTTTATTCATTAAACACTTGCCAGGAACATGTTTTGGGTTAAAAAGAAGTCCACAAAAAGTGTACTACATTGAGAACTTTTTTGTTGATTTACTGATTTTAGAGAGAGGGAGGGAGGGAGAAAGAGAATCATTGACCCATTGTTCCACCCATCTATGCATTCATTGGTTGATTCTTGTATGTGTCCTGACCTGGATGGAACCTGCAACCTTGGTGTATGAGGATGATGCTCTAACCAACAGAGCTACCCAGCCACCTGGCCAGGGTCTGAGAACTTTCTTCATTGTAGCATATTAAGACATATTAATTCAGCCTTATTGGTGATTCCTGTCATTTATGAAAAGTCTCAGACCAAGAATGTTGAGCCTATAAAAAACCTGGTTACAAACTTAGCAAAGTTCAGTGTGAAATATAATTGTAGTAAAAATACCATGTATTTTATAGCCTTCAAAATGTGTTGGTGTTCTTTTTTAATCCTCACCTGAGGATATTTTCCCATTTATCTCAGCTAGAGTGGGAGGGAGGGAGAGAGAAACATCTGTACGAGAGGAACAACACATTGACTGGTTGCCTCCTGCATGACCCCAACCAGGGCCAGGGCCGAACCCCAACCGAGGTACGTGCCCTTGACTGGAATTGAACCTGCAACTCATTGCTCTGCAGGCCAATGCACTCTAACTACTGAGCCAAACCAGCCAGGGCAAAATGTGGTGTTGTGTTTTTTTTTTTTTTAGTTTGTTTTTATTTTTTGTCCTTAACTGAGGATATTTTTCCATTGATTTTTAGATAGAGTGGAAGGGAGGGAGGGTGTGGGAGGTGGGGAGAGAGAGAGAGAGAGAGAGAGAGAGAGAGAGAGAGACATTGATTGTTTGACTTCCACATCACCTGGACCGGATTGAACCTGTAACCCAGGTATATGCCCTTTACCAGAATCAAACCTGCTGATCCACACTGGCTAGGACATCAAAATGTTTTTATGGTTCCATTAGTTCTAAACATAATGCTGGAGTGGAATGGCAGGTAGTGTTACTCCTTTTACAGATAAAGAAATGGAGTCTTGGGAGGGCTGAATAGAGTTGGTCAGTAGCAGATTTAAGTTTTCTGGGTCCTTGATAATTTCTGTTATGTTCATAATAGAAATGTGGTGAGCTAGTAGGTAGTAGTCACTCCTGTATGTTCCTACAACTTCACTGAAATCTGTCTTGGCGATTAACATAGTAGCACAGCTTCTTAATTTGTCTCTGCTTGACTGGAAGTTTCTTTGAGAGCAGAGACATTTGTTTTGCCCCGGTGGCCTACTGAGAACCTGATTTTTTTTTTATCTTCACCCGAGGACATTTTTCCATTTTTTGTTCAGACATAGTGGGAGGGAGAGAAAGGAAGAGAGAGAGAAAAAAAAAAACATTGATGTGAAAGGGTCACATTGAGTGGCTGCCACCCGCACGACCAACCAGGGCCGGGGACAAACTGCAGCTGAGGCACACACCCTTAGTGGGAACGGAACCCGGGGTCTCTCTGGGCCGCAGGCTGACGCTCTACCCGCTGAGCCAAACCTGCCAGGACAGAACCTCATTTTTTTTATAAGTGATGAAGTGGGTAAACGGGTCACCGTTAGAGTCTATTTGAAATGAAAGTGTGCATTATTTATGTTTACAATTAGCTATCAAATTATTAGTTTGTGTGTCACTGTCCTTTTGAAAAGGGTGACTTTTTAGTCCCTTTCTTTGTGCTAGAGAAAGTCCTAGACACCTTTAAGGTTATTGAAACAATCTTTTAATAACTATTTGACAGAATAGTGATGGGGATGTCAAGTACAGCATACTGAATTATAGTCGGTACTGTATATGGTGTCAGATGGGTACCAGATTTGTCAGGTGATCACTTCATAAGACATAAATTTCAAATAAACTTGAGAAATCTGTTAGAATTCTGTAAAAATGTATCGTGAACACATTTTTCCATCAGATTCTTATTTTCCGTTTTGTTTATAAGAAAACAGTGTATACATTTCTAACAGTTATATTGAGATATAGTTGCTATACATTAATCTGCACATATTTATTTATTTAATTTATTTTTTTTAGTCCTCACCTGAGGATATTTTACCATTGATTTTTTTCAGAATAGAATGGGAGAGAGGGGGAGAGAGAAACATTGATTGTGAGAGTCACATCAACTGGTTGCCTCCTGCATGCGCTGGGGATAGAACCTGCAACAGAGGTATGTGCCCCTGACCAAGAATTGAACCCCCAACCGTCTTGTCCGAGGGCCCATGCTCTAACTGCTGAGCCAAACCGGCCAGGGCAAACTGCACATACTTACTTATTTATTTATTTATTTTTAAAACTTCACCTGAGGATATTTTTCCATTTTTGTTCAGATAGAGTGGGAGGGAGAGAGAGAGAGAGAAACATCGACGTGAGAGGGACACATTGACTGGTGCTTCCCTCACGACCTCAACCAGGGCCAGGGACAAACCACAACCGAGGTTATGTGCCCATGACCAGAATCGAACCCAAGACTCATTGGTCTGTGTGCTGATGCTCCAACTGCAGAGCCAAACTGGCCAGGGCAAACTGCACATATTTAAAGTATACAATTTGGTAAGTTGTAATGTGTACACCAAATAATCAAGTGAGTGAACATATCCACCACTTGCAAATGTTCTTGGGGCAGCTCTGTATCCCTCCCTCTACCTTTCCCTGCTCACACTCTATACCCACCCAGGCAAACACTGATCTCATGTCTATAAAGTTTTAGAAAATACAAACTAATATATTGTGACAGAAAGTGTAGTCTATTCATTTTCATCACTGACATAAGGGAGAGAAACTCAAACTGCCAGAGCATTCCACTTTTTTTGTTGTCCTTTCCTGGGTTTACCAGTGGCAGCCCATAGTAGCTACACTTTGCATAAATAAGCTTCCAGGGTTATTTACTAAAATTTTCAGAAAGCAGTGGGCTCTTTTGTTCCTCTACAAAGAAAATAAGAAATAACTAGCTACTGGTTTCTCTCACATTGTATGCGTCCATCAAATCTGATTTCTCTCCATTTGTAGTTTGGGCTTTTTCAATATAGTTCTGCTTTTCTTGAACTAGATTTTTTATATTTCTCCTTGAAACAAATGTCTGATAGTTTGTCTGAAATGAACCTTTCTGCCTACATAGAAATATCATGAGTATTTAAGGTATTAAAGAAGTGTTTTGGTAGGAATTAGAGGTTCCTGATGAATGACTTGCTTCTGTACCTTCTTACTGTGGTGGTTCTTGTTTTTGTTGATTTTGGACCTGGATCTTACCCTCATGATCACTGTGTAGGAGGGTACTAGTATATAAAACCATGAGTTGCAATTATTTAATCTTAAGACTGAATTTTTAAGTGATGTAGGGTTTTTTTGTGGTTTCGGTTTATTTAATGTTGCTGCAAAGTTATTACCCTAAGTAATTGAAATCTGACTACCAAGGATAAAGATGTTTTCTTGAGACATGAGTATCATTTTGAAACAAACTCTAAGCTAAACAAAATTCCGTTATTCTTGAATGCCCCTATGCTTTCTGGAAGCTTTTCTGAAATTAATGAGCATTGTTAAAAAGATAAAGGAAGTGTATACACTCTCAAGTTTGATACTGTAACTTAGAATGTCTAGTTTTGTTAGTATTTGTTACTCTAATTCTCATCCTTTTGGTAACTGAAATACTTATAGAATGAAGAGAAAAAAAGCTGTCCTTTTTGTCCAACATAATTCCAGTATAACTGAGATACTAGTTCTTAGTACTACATCTATATTTTCAAGCACATCAACTTTAAGTAGAAGAAAATACTGAGGAAAACATAAAAAAGTTTTTATATACTTTTCCTTTTAAATAGATGAAGAGCTTCCTGATTACATTATGGTGATGGTGGCCAACAAGAAAAGTCAGGACCAAATGACAGAGGACCTGTCCCTGTTTCTAGGGAACAACACAGTTCGATTCACCGTATGGTATGTTTCTGAATATTTACCCCTTAGACCAAAGTTTGGCACAAATCAGAGTAGGTATTCTGTCTGAAAAGAGGTTCCTGTCAGGAGAGTTAATATTCAGTGTGGAGAGGCATGTTGTAAGGTTGAACCCTGGATCTGCCTCTTGTCTTGGTTTCTGTATTTGTAAATGGGAAAAGTAAGTCACCTTTATAGGGTCCTTGTGAAGTTAAATGAGCTAACACATGTGATGCTCACTGCCCACTGCTGTGTGTGGCTCATAGCTATAAGTCCTTGGTATATGTTAAAGTAGTTACCATGTTTCTCTTGTAAACGTCTGCATCGTATTCCTTTCCTCTAGCCCAAACCAGTGGCAGATGTTTTTTTGTTGTTGTTGTTGTTTTTGGATTGGGTTGACTTCCTAAATTGCTTTCTCCAATGAGTTTATTGTTAGGGTGCAAGGATTTTGACAAAATTTTGAATCATTTTTTAAAAGTTTAGAACTTTTCGAAGTTTGGAATTTTAAAATAGGCAACTCTGTATTCAAATATAGTTAATATTATAATTTTCAATATCCTTTTTCAAACCACTTAGGCCTTTAGTTAAAAAATACTGACTAAAAGCATAAGATTTGGTTTAAGAAAGAGGTCAGGTTCTGGTGCCAGTTTGAGGTAAACTCATGGCTGGGGGAAGGTGATATGGCTGAGAATAGATTAGGAAGTACTTGTGTAAGGCCCCTCACACTGGGAACCACAAATTACAGCACAAGTCGATGATGGAGCAGAAGGTGAGTGAGCAAAGTGGCCTTTTTCATTTGAATGGCAGGAGACTGGGAGAGGGAATAGGAGGCACTAAGGAGGAATATGAAGCTGGTGGACTTTCTGCCTTTAAACCAAAAGTTTGTCTTGAAGGTGTTTTTGTCCCACCTCCACCCCCGCAGGTTAATGAGTGCTTTACAACTCTTTTGAAGCTTTCTTGAATCCATGCAGAATTCTCTGGTTTCTATTACAGTTTTGAAGAACATGGAGTGCAGAGGTTGATCCTCAAATGTGTTGGTACATAGTGTGTGCAACCTAACCTACTTGTTACAGTTTGTCCTCAGAACTTATCCCCTGTACCCTGGTGTTTTGACTGTGGAAATTACCATTATCATGAGTGCTTTTTTTTTTTTTTTTTCCTTTATTGATATTAGAGAGAGAGGGGAAGGGAAAGAGAAATGGAAACATCGATGAGAGAGAACATCGACTGGCTGCCTCCTGCATGCCCCACATTGGGTATTTGGCCCACAACCCGGGCATGTGCTGACCGGGAATCGAACCAGTGACCTCTTGGTGCATGAGTTGACACTCAACCACTGAGCCATACTGGATGGGCTTTTTTTTCTTTTTTTTAAGTCTTCAGCAGTCCAGGTATTTGTTTCATGTATATTTTTATGACCTGACTTCTGGTTCAACCTTTGAATCACTTTAGGTTTGAGGGGTGATTGACCTAGTGGATTATTTCTCAGATAACTTGATGGAATGTGTTAGACAAATTTCTTACGTAAACAAACTGCTAACTGAATTTGAACTTAAAGTCAAATTAACTGAACTTTTTCACCTTGCCATAAATTCAGTTCTCTAACATACTGACACAAGTGATGGTGTCTTTCTTTTGACACTTTCCTGTTATACGTTCATTGATACCAGTCCCAGACGGACTGCTCTTACCCTTCGGAGCCCTGCAATAATCACGTCACACGTGACCGTGGCATGCGGCTGGGTTTGGGGTGAAACATAACGGGCTATTTCTGGTATTTCAGGAGATTGCTTCTTGGAAGGATTGTAAGGCAAACTTACCTTGTATATAACTGCTAAAATAAAAAAGGTTATAGTGTAAGCAAGGTTATGGTCTGCTTGTTTACAACATTAGTTTTGTAAATAATAGATACAGTGAAATGTGATAATATATTTTGAGTTTTTTAAGTTTTTTCACCTCAGAATTTTTTTTTTCAGAAACCATATGAGTAGAAAACATTAATTTGAACTGTGTAAACAATTGTAATAGTAAACTATAGTACACATTTGTGATATTTTATCTTTTACCCTAAGTTACATCGCGCCTTTAGTCCTTATGAAACAAAGTAACGTTCTTTGTAAATAAAACTCTGCTCAGATCATATTCTTGCCCTTATTTTTGCAGAGGTTAGATGTTGAAAATGGTGATGAAAAAATGATTTTTGTTTGGCTCTTGTATTAAACATGTAAAGCCTTTTTTAAAATGTGAAACTTAATTTTAATACCATTTATCCATTGAATACCATTTAGTACCATTTATCAGTATTTATCTAAAGATTGATTCTATAAAGTTATCAAATTTAGAGTGACAATTGATATAAAATCTTTCCTGATTAAAGGACACTTTAAATTTTTTTGTTTTTTCTTTTAGGCTTCATGGTGTATTAGATAAACTTCGCTCTGTTACAACTGGTAAGATTAATAAAAATTGGCTTTTGGGGGGAATTTGCTGTAGCATATGCTTACTTTCTTTCTAAAGCCATTTAAACTGCTTTGGGGGAAGAAAACAAATTTGAAATCAGTAGTTCATTTGACCTTTGTTTTGTTTTGTTTTTAATCCTCACCCGAGGATATTTGCTCAAATATCTTCAGATAGAGTGGGAGGGGGAAAGAGAGAGAGAGAGAAACATCGATGTGAGAGGGACATTATCAATTGGTTGCCTCCTGCACAACCCCGACCAAGGCTAGGGATGAACCGCAACTGAGGTACGAGCCCTTGGCCAGAATCGAACCCAAGACTCTCTGGTCCGTGGGCCGAGGCTCTAACCACTGAGCAAACCCGGCCAGGGTGTTCATTTGGACTTTTTTAGGAAGCACATATTTTTATGAATTTAAGAGCAGTAAATTTAATATAATTCAAAGATAATTTAAATAAGGGAAGAGTAACTGCAGTTTATCCCAAGGAAGTAATTATAGAAGTGTGCCATGGTTTAGTCTCAGGATGTGTTAATATTTTATAATTGAAAGTACTTAGAAGTTCAGTAATAGTAAATTGAATAAATTATGATATTACTGTGTGTGGAATAATATTCGGCCATTAAAAATGTGGAAGAACATGTATTGCTTTTAAGTTGGTGATGAACAGGGGGAAGGATCAAAGTAATAAAAATAGTTTAAAAGGGTTACATGTTTTTCTTTCCAGATCCCTCTAGTCTAAAGTCTTCTGATACCAACATATTTGATGGTAACGTGACTTCAAACAAGAGCAGTTTCAGTAGGGGAGATGAGAGGAGGCACGAAGCTGCTGTGCCACCCCTTGCAGTTTCCAGCAGCAGACCTGAGAAAAGAGATTCCAGAGTGTCTTCAAGTTCACAGGAGCAGAAAACCACTAATGTCAGGTAAGAGTCCTATGTAGACTATCTGTGGGCAGATGACGATGTATGTGACGTTTACATTAGTTTTTATTTTATTTTTAAAATATGTTTTTATTGATTTTTTAGAGAGGAAGGGAGAGAGATAGAAACATTGATCAGCTGCCTACTGCCCCCTACTGGGGATCAAGCCCACAACTCGGGCATGTGCCCTAACTGGGAATCGAACCCAGACCTCTCAGTCCACGGGACGATGCTCAATTCACTGAGCCACATCGATCGGGCTACATTAATTTTTATATCTTTATTTCTTTTTTTATTTTTTTTCCCCCTCACCCAAGGACATTTTTCCATTTTTTGTTCGGATAGAGTGGGAGGGAGAGAGGGGAAGAAAGAGAGAAAGAGAGAGAGAAACATCGACGTGAAAGGGACATATCAAGTGAGTACCTCCCACACGACCCAACCGGGGTCAGGGACAAACTGCAACTGAGGTCTGTGCCCTTAGCGGGAACTGAACCTGGGTCTCTCTGGACTGCAGGCTGATGCTCTAACCACTGAACCAAACCAGCTAGGGCTAATTTTTATATCTTTAAATGGCCTTTTTCAGAAAATTTTTGAATTAATGAGGTGGTCATGTGCAATTTTTAAAAATAAAATAAAGAATGGGTGAGACCAAAGTATGTATGTTTATCACAAAATTAAATCAAAGTTTAAAAAAAAACGAATGCAATTCAAACTAGATTTTAATGGCCCCTATAAAGGGGATATTCAATGTTTTTAATCACAATTTAAGTAAATATTCTTTGACGATTTGAACATATTCCCCTAATATGGTTGTAATACGTTTTGTGTGTGTCATAGACAGAGTTATGATGATGGAGCTGCAACCCGACTGATGTCCACAGTGAAGCCTCTGCGGGAGCCAGCACCCTCTGAAGATGTGATTGACATTAAGCCAGAACCAGACGATCTCATTGATGAAGACCTCAATTTTGTGCAGGAAAATCCCTTATCTCAGAAAAAACCTACAGTGACACTTACATATGGTTCTTCTCGCCCTTCTATTGAAATTTATCGACCACCTGCAAGTAGAACTGCAGATAGTGGTGTTCATTTAAACAGGTTACAATTTCAACAGCAGCAAAACAGTGTCCATGCTGCCAAACAACTGGATATACAGAACAGCCGGGTATATGAAACAGGACGTTTGTGTGAACCAGAAGTGCTTAATAGCTTAGAAGAGACTTACAGTCCCTTCTTCAGAAACAACTCAGAAAAAATGAGTATTGAGGTTTGTATGTACTTGTAAATCTTGGGTTGGTAGGCTGGCAGTTCTTTATACTAAAGAGTATGTAAAATAACTAAATACGTATTACAGGTTTATTTTAAACTGATTTCTGTGCTGCTCAACATATTATACCAATTAGACTTTCCTCTCCATGTAGTTCAGTCAGTCCATGACTGACTTCTGTAGGTGTACATTACATCTTGTTTACTTTCCTGGGATGCCCACATGTGCAATAGTTTTAACCATGCCTATGGTTTGGGTGGGATTTTAGGTTAATTTTAGATTTTTCATGGCATTTACTATTAAAGAAGTGAGTTAGTTTCCTCAATAGTGCTGTATGCTGCTGCTGATAAGTGAATGTAAAGCACTAGCTTTTGTTTTCATTAAAGGTTGGCAATTAGGGATAATATTCATATTTTTATTTAAAAAAATAGCTCAGGAATTCTTAATATGATTGGCTTTTCCTTAAAAAGAAAAAATAAATCTGTGGTAGAACTTGGTTATTTTCTGAGACCAGGTAAGTGTGAATTTATCTGATTGCAGGAAGAAAACTTTCGGAAGAGAAAGTTGCCTGTGGTAAGTTCAGTTGTTAAAGTAAAAAAATTCAGTCACGATGGTGAAGAGGAAGAGGAAGATGATGATTGTGGGTCCCGTACAGGAAGCATCTCCAGCAGTGTGTCTGTGCCAGCAAAGCCTGAGAGGAGGTACCTGAACATGTCTGTAAATTAATCTTAAATTACTTGGTGTGGGGTCTTCTGGGTTTCTTGAAGAGGATATCATAAAAATAAGAAATTTATAGCATGTAAGACTTTTCCATTGGTTTTTGAGTAAAGCATAGTAATGAAAGAGAAATTGCTTAAAATTGGAGACATTGTAGAGACTATTAAAAACTAATACAGGTGGAAAAGTTAAACAGATTCACTATTTTAAAAAGTTACAAGGTTTCGCCCTGGCTGGTTTGGCTCAGGGGTTAGAGCGTCAGCCTGCGGTCCAGAGAGGCCTGGGTTCTGTTCCCGCTAAGGGTGTGTACCTCGGTTGCAGTTTGTCCCCGGCCCTGGTTGGTTGTGCGGGTGGCAGCTACTCGATGTGTTCCTTTCACGTCGATGTTTCTCTCTCTCTCCCTCTCCCTCCCTCCCGCTCTATCTGAACAAAAAATGGAAAAAAAAAAATGTCCTCGGGTGAGGATAAAAAAAAAAAAAAAAAGTTATGAGAGAAGGCTCTGGCAGAGTAGCTCAGTTGGTTGGAGTAGCTCAGTCATCCCGTACACCAAAGCGTTGCGGGTTTGATTCTTGGTCAGGGCACATACCTAGGTTTCAAGTTGGATCCCAGGTTGGGGCTCGTACAGGAGGCAAAAGATCCATGTTTCTCACATCGATGTTTCTCTCTCTCTCCCCCCCCCCACTTACTCTCCCTCACTCCTTTTGTCTGTCTTTCTCTCCTTTGCTCTCTCTCTAATATCAATGAAAACATATCCTTGGGGGAGGATTGAAAAAAAAAAAACCCACCTAAAAGAAAGCTGTAGTAAAGGTATGGTGGATGGCTAGCATGTAAAGAACTCAAATCTATAATCAAAATATTTTTCTTAACTTTCTTAGACCCTCACTTCCTCCTTCTAAACAAGCTAACAAGAATCTGATTTTGAAGGCTATATCTGAAGCTCAAGAATCTGTAACAAAAACAACGAACTATTCTACAGGTAATTTAAATGTAATGAATTATGTTTTCATTAAGAGATTTCTCTAACTCTTGAGTAAGCCAGAAATGATTGCTCCCCAAATTGTGGTAAAATGAAGACTCTTACCCAATGTCAAAACCAAGATGAGGTTCAGAAAGATTTGACCAGTTTGAGAAATTTTCCATCTGTCAGTGGAATTTAATTCTTTGAGCAACTGTAATGTCTCTTAGTCCCTCTTTCCAGTGTGTGTGTGAAATATGTAGTAAGTAGCAGTTATTACACAGTTTAGAACAAAGGAGATGAGTCAGCTGTAATTTGATTACACAGAAAGTTCATTGTGAAACGCAAAACAAATCATGGGTGTCATGTTGTCATTAAATTCTGTACTCTGCCCCACATGCTAGAGTGGTGTATGAAATTGCATTAGTAAGTCGTAATGCTTACCCACTTTAAAATGTATTTCATTTTTGCTACATGTTTGAAGACTGTTCTTTCAGCGTTATTCCTTAAGTGAAATAGACTGTAAGCTTACTTTAGATCCTGATAGTCATCTGTCCCTCATCCCTAATTTACCCTCTGAACATGAAATTGAATAGGTTTTGGCGTGTGGGTTAAGGATCATCAGGCAAAGGCCTATACTTGACTGAACAGTTTTTCTATTTATATCCCATTTTTGGTCTGTTACAGTATTGTTTAAAATGATGAGAAATTCAGAGAATTTTACTTTGGCCTGAAATTTCCTGCTTTTAGGTGGAGATTGCCCAAGGTTTGTTTGTTTTTTTTTTAATCCCCATCTGAGGATATTTTTACATTTATCTTCAGACAGAATGGGAGGGGGAGAGAGAGAGAAACATCAATGTGAGAGAGACACGTCGACTGGTTGCCACTCGCATGACTCCAGGTGGGTCTGGGGATGAACCACAACCGAGGTACTTGCCCTTGGCCGGAATCGAACCTGGGACTCTTTGGTCCGAAGGCCGGCGCTCTAACTGTTGAGCCAAACCAACCATTGAGCCAAACCGGCCGGGGCAAGATTGCCCCACGCTTTTTTTTTCTTTTTGAGAAATAGAATAGAAATTCTTTATCTAGTTTATCCTAATTACAATTTGTAGTTGTTAATAGGATCATGAAGCAGAACTTTAATTGCATTTGGTTAACACGAGTACATATGTGCTTCAGTGTGTATATGGCATGTGGTTTAAAATGTGTGGGTATTGCCCCAGCTGGTTTGGCTCTGTGGTTAGAGCATCACCCCGCAGACCAAAGAGTTTTGGGTTTGATTCTGGCCAAGGGCATGTACCTTGGTTGCGATTTGGTCCCAGCCCTGGTCGAGGTGGTACGGGAGGCAACCAGTTGATATGTCTTTCTCACATCCATACCCCCGCCCCATCCATCCCACTCTATCTGATGATAAATGGAAAAATATCCTCAGGTGAGGATTAAAAAAACCCTAAAATATGTAGGTGTTGTTTATATACATGTAAGTGTTTAAGTCAAGTTATCTATTGAGAATATTGTCAGAAAAAATGAGGTAGTATCTATGAACTGTTTCAAACTCCTCATATTGTAAAGTGAAGGAGGCATTTATGTTTAATATGACTGTTGAGTTTGATGTATTACTATATTTGCATTTAATTTTTTTTTTTGCTTTTTATATGAAAGTCTCACAGAAACAGACACTTCCAGTTGCTCCTAGAACTCGAACTTCTCAAGAAGAATTGCTGGCAGAAATGATCCAGGGGCAAAGCAGGACCTCTAGAATAAGTCCCCCCATTAAAGAAGAGGAAACAAAAGGAGATAATACAGAAAAAAGTCAAGGTAATAAATTATATTTCATTCTCTATTATACTTTTTTCATGAGACATCAAATATTTTTCAGTTAGTGTTTAAGAAATGTTATGAGAAAAGTGCTCACTAGACCAAAAATAGAATAAGAGGGATCATGAGGAATCTACATACATTTTTAAGAGTTTTTAAAAAACCTTTTGTCATGGAAATTTTTAATGTTCTCAGAAGTGGAAAGAAAAATTTCCATGAATTCAGTCACCTAGCTTTAATATTATCAATATTTTGCTGGTCTTTAGTAAGCACCAGTTTAAAGACACATAGATATCTACATTATAGCTTTCCTTCTCTTTGTTAATTCTATCCTTGTTCTGTTGAATTTGAAATCTTATCTTTAAATCTTCCCTTTCTGAGCATCCCCTCTGTGTGACCTGCCAGATACGCCTTATTGTCCCAGTGGCCCTAGTTTATCCCCTTGTGCCTGACGTACTACGGTTAGCTTCCAGCTCATCTTTCTGCTTCCTTTCTCTCAACCCCCATCCACAATTCATACACAAACATTCTTCATTTAAAGTACGACTTACTATGTGATGCTTTTGTGAGAGCATTTATAGTGTGTGCCCCTCTCCCATGCCCCCAGTGAGTGGCCCAGGGCTGATGCCTTCAGCCTGGCCTTTCCACAGTGTCTGGCCCCTGGGTCTGCCCAGCCCTTCCCCTGCTGCTCTCTATTGTTCCTCTGTTCCCATTAGGAAAGATTCTGGTTTCTTCTTTTGCTCTTCTATGATCTGAATTTAAAAACCCCATTAAACCTACATGCTCATCATGTTGTTTCTTCTAACTTACAATTTGTTAACATGGGAATGCGTTTATTATTCCTCTTCAACTCTGTCCTTTAAATTGTTCCAGGTTCATTTCAGAGTTAGTTGTTTCATGAAGCTTTATGAGTGTATCCTATATTTGTCTTTGTTCTTTTCTTAAAACAATCTTTGTATTGTGCAATTTTCATGTCAGCATTATGTGCAGTTTCAATAAAAGATGGACCTGAATGTAAGAAAACCCCAAAACAGCCAATAGATAGTAACAAGAAAGTGTGAATGGGCCAGTTTGTGAAGAACAACTGGGCTGGAACTTCAATAAAAGTAGGAATGGCATAGATTAAAGCCCTGATTTCATGATGATATTTTTAATTTTTTTCATGATATTTAAAAAAAATAGACTCTTCATTGGCCACCTTTTTGGAAAAGAATAGATGCTAAGCCAGATAAATAATTGAGCATTTGTGCTCTTTCCTTTAAGAATGGTGCCACTGGGTAACAAAGTGGTACAGGAGTTAGCACATACTCTTGTAAGCAAAGTTTTATAGGAACCATGCTATGTTTATTCATTTATGTATTGTCTATGGCTGCTTTTGTACTACAGCCACAGAGTTGAATAGTTGCAACAGATCATATAGGCCACGTAACTTAAAATAGAAGATGTCTGCCAACCTTAGATGATGGAAGCATCTTTTGAAATAATTCTAGCTAGTAAGTAATAACAAAATTATAGAATTACAAAGTTTTAGGTTTTTTTGCATCTTACAATGAATTAAAGAATCTAGGCATTGTTCATTAATGGCTACTAAAACATTTTTTTAAAGTGAAAAAACAGCCATTTTGTGCCTCCTGGTGATGAAAGAATAAAACATTACCTTAGTCTTGCCAGAGGATTTGAACCTGAGATCAAATCTCTGATCCAGCAGTCAGCTTGCAGGAAGTACAGAGACCAGAGAAGTATGTTGGTTGAACTGCACCATGAGTGCAGCAGGCAAAGTACAGTTTCTGGGAGCTGTATAGGTCCAAAAGCTTAATAATTCTAGATTAAAAGTCTTAAAAAAGACAAAATAAAGGTGGCAAAGTTAAGCTCTAGTGCCTAGGGGTGCCTGCTTGTATGATGAAACCACAAAGAAACTAGGTATATAAAAGGCAATAGTGGTTACTTTTAGAGAGGACTTGTTAGGATGGAGCTCATGATGGGGCTTCTGGGGTGGCTGGCATAGCTGTTTCTTTGACCTGGATGCTGGATATAAGGATGTTTTTGTTTTAAGAAGGTTGATTAAGCTATTACTTGTTTTGTGTGGTTTTCTATATTATTGTTTTGTTTTAAAGTGAAGCAGTTGAAGTGGTATCATCAAGTACCTCTCCTGACGAGGACTGTTATTAACTCTTACTGGATTTAGTCCAAGCCCAAAGTGACACTCTGCAAACAGCCATTAGTCAGTGTGCTTACTAACATTGTTTTACAGCTTTGTCTGTGACAGGTTTTTTAATATTTAAATATGCACATGGATTGACATGAGTTATTCATAGTGTTCTCTCATCTCTCCAGCCTCTGTGTTTTTACTAGCCTACCCTAGCACCTCACAATATTTGTGTTTTTTCTTTCTCTAGGATTAATTTGTCATCAGAAACTTACTTTGCCAGTCTTTTCAAAGACTTAGTAACAATAATTTTGGCTTTATTGATTCTCTTTTGATGTAATTGTTTGGTTATGTTTTTTTTTTTACTTTTTAATTATTGATTTTTAGAGAGAGGGTGGGATAGAGAAAAAGAAACCTCAGTTTGTTGTTCCACTTATTTATGTCTTCATTGGTTGATTCTTGTATGTGCCCTGACCGGGGATTGAACCCACAACCTTGGCTTATGGGGATGAGGCTCTAACCAACTGAGCTACCCAGCCAGGATATGGTGTCATTGTTGTTGTTTTTTTCCCATTAATTTTTGCTCTTATTTTTAATCTTTTCAATTTTTAAATTAATTTATCCTAGTCTTTGTCTTTTCATATGTATATATGCTGAAAATTTCTCTTCATGTGCTGATTTTACTGGATATCACAAATTTTGATATATAATGTTTTCATTATTCTAGGGTAGCTTTAATTCCCATTTAGATCTTCATTTTCGACCCACCCATGAGTTATTTGGAGATGTATTTGTTTTTTATATGGTTTTATTGACGTTTTAGAGAGAGGGAGGGAGAGAGATGGAAACAGATCAGCTGCCTACTGCATGGCCCCTACTGGGGATCAAGCTCACAACCAGGGCTTGTGCCCCGACTGGGAATCAAACCAGGGCCTCTCAGTTCGTGGGACAATGCTCAATCCACTGAGCCACACCAGCGGGCTGGAAGTGTTTCTTTTCTTAATCTACAGTGTATGGAGGTTTTGATTTTGTCTTGTAATCTTTTTTTGTTTGTTTGTTTATACTCCTGATTTAATTGCTTTGTGGTTAGATAATATGGTATGTATTTTTGAAAGTTAAGACTTAAGATAGTTGATTTTGTACATATTCCATGTGTATTTTGGAAGAAAGTGGACCCTAATTGTTGGCTTGAGAATTTTGCATTTAATACATGAAGCTCTACAGTTAAGATGTTTGTCTTGACCTTGCTGAATCCTTGGTCTATCTGCTTAACTTATCAGTAACTGAGAGGAGGTCTTTTCTTTTTTATAAATTTTTTTTCTTTATTGATCTTAGAGAGAGAGAGAGAGAGAGGAAGGGAGAGGGAGAAAGAAACATCGATGAGAGAGAACATCGATTGGCCGCCTCCCTCATGCCCCCTCACTGGGGATTGGGCCCACAACCTGGGTGTGTGCCCTGACCGGGAATCAAACCGGTGACCTCTTGGTGCATGGGTCGGCACTCAACCACTGAGCCACACCTTCCAGGCAGAGAAAAGTTCTATCAGGGTGACAAGTGTATCTTAATTTCTCTGTACTTCTGTCAGGTTTTACTTTATTTATTTGAGGCTTTTAAACTAGGTGCATGCATATTTAAAATTGTTACATCTTCCTGATGAATTGAACCTTTTATCTTTACAGCCTTCTGTACCAAATGATGCTTTTATCTTAAAGTCAGTTTTTTTCTCATATTAATATTGCCAGTTTGTTAGTATTTGCCTCATCTTTCTGTGTTGCATGCCTTTGTTTTCAGCTTTTTCTAACCTTATGCTTTGGGCATATTCCTCTCTTAAATGTCATAAAGCTAGATTATTGTTTGCTTAATTGTTTCTGAGTTTGTCTTTTATTGGAGAGTTTAAACCATTCACATTTATCATTATTATTATTTTAACAGAATAATCTGTGCTTTTGGTTCTTTATTAATATGTTTTTGTTGATTTTTTTAGAGAGAGAGGAAGGGAGAGAAACATCCACCAACTGCCTCCTGCACGCCCCCTACTGGGAATCAAACCCGGGACCTCTCAGTCCACGGGATGACATTTAATCCACTGAGCCACAATGGCCAGGCATTATCTATGTTTTTAATTCTAACCAGAAGAAAACTTGTTTAATCCATTTTGTAAGGGCACTTGAAATATACAGGGGTGGGCAAAGTAGGTTTACAGTTGTGAGTATGTGAAACAGTTTATACTTGTACTGTTATTTATTAAATTTGGGGGGGAGAATTTTTATAAGAATTTATTTGAGCCAAATTGACAGCTTGCCGGGGATCAAGATCTCAAATAGTCCGTAATTATTATTAACCTACTTTTATAACCTGCTCCTATATTTACTAATAAAGACAACCAACATTCTGCTTTTTCTTGTTTGTTTTTTTTTAATCCTCACCCAAGGATATTTTTCCATTGGTTTTCAGAATGGGGGGTGGGGGGAGAACATTGATGTAAGAGAGAGACATTAATTGGTTGCCTCCCGCACGACCCCAACCAGGGCTGAGGATCAAACCACTACCAAGGTACGTGCCTTTGACCGGAATTGAGCTTGAGACTCTTTGGGTTGTGGACTGGTGCTTTGATTGCTGATTCAAATCAGCCGGGGCCACTTTTACTTTTATTAGCATTTATTTTATGTTGGATTTACTCCTGGGCCACAAGTTTTTGTTTCTTCAGTTTCTTCTGGGATACATTTCTTCTGTGCAGCCTCTTCTGGTTCAGAAACAGTCTGCTCTTAGTGTGGCAGGGAAAGCTCAGTTCTACGCCACATCTTGGGAACTTTACTCACCTGGATGTGCTCAGTGACCAGAGAATCTATACATC